CGCTCTGCCTCAGTGGGAGGCCCTGGGAGTTGGGAGGGAGCTTTGGGGCGAGGGGGAAAAGAGGAGGTCCTGCTCCTGTGGGTTTGGGGCTTCCACCTGGGTGGGCTTTGGGTGAGCCTTACCCTGCGTCTGTGCTAGTACAGTGCAAAGGTGTTTGTGTGAGGTGGGGCAGGACTGACTGCAGGGGGAATGGTGTTAATTTGGTAGACCTACAGGCATGTAGTGTAAAAAAAAATAATGCATCTCTATCGAGCTACAGCGAGTGGGCTATTGCATACCTGCATCATAGATGTGAAGGCTTGTAAAGTGAGAGAGAGCTTCTGGCTCTTCAGGCCTGGTGGGTGCTGTGGATGAGGGCTGGAGGCATTTTGTGGTGTAAAAAGGGGCTGGGGAGCCTCTTCCTAGGGCTGATGATATACTGGGTCTGTCTTTTGGGACTCTGCCTAGGGTCAGCAATGCACTGCACCTGCGTTTCCGGTTGTAGCAGGAGGCAGCGGCTCGCTTTAAGAGCGAGATACATCTAAAGGTCTTTTATTTCCGTACCGAGCATTGCACATAAATAAAAGCCATAAGGTCGCACCAGGAAGCTGCTGCGAGGCGCGTGCTGGACAGGGGCAGGATGCCGGCGATGCCAGAGAAGGCCGTTTCCCCCAGGCTGTGCTTTGGCCCTGGCCGTCCCGGCGTTTGCATCACCCTCGCTCAGAAGCAGAGAGCTGGCAGGGTCTGAAAGTTAATGTTTTGTGGTTGAGAGGTATCGAAATTCATCCACTTTTTGGCAGTGTTGGGTGTTCGGGGAGAGGCTGCAGTGCTGCTGGCTCCGTTGGAGGGACAGGGCGAGTTTGGCGGGGAGTGGTACGATGGCTTGGCTGCCGAGCACAGCTGTCAGTATGAAACGGCAAGGGAAGATGAGGGTGACGACTTGCATTTTGGGGCTGGAGTCTATTAAGTTGCTATTTTTAGCAAGCCGTTTCCTATGGTGCATTTGAGCACTGAGTATCTAATATTTGCCATTGTGAAAGTGACCTAGTGGCAGCCATTCCCGGTGGAGTTATGTGGGCTTTTCTTTCCGCGGTCGAAAGCAACTGTTGCTCTATAGTCTTTGGGCCTTTGCACCGCATGCTTGTGATTTTTAAAAAGGGCAGGTGAAAGAGGGAAGTGTGCATGTGGCTTTTTTGCCACGCTGTCAGAAATGCCTCAGCTTGCACGTAGGCAAGTTTGCCCCAAGGGCGGGGAAAACGGGGACGGGTGTCGCCCCGGTTAAGAGTGGCGGATGGTGAGGGGTAATACTGGAAGCCTTTCTGGGAAGGGTACACTGTGAAAGGGCTGACTGGAAAAGTTTTCTCTCCTGTCAGTGGAAGTCGATCGTCGAAAACATTCAAACCCAAGAAGAACATTCCCGAAGGCTCCCATCAGTATGAACTCTTGAAACATGCGGAAGCGACTCTGGGGAGCGGTAACCTTAGACAAGCGGTTATGTTGCCGGAGGGAGAGGACCTTAACGAGTGGATCGCAGTTAACAGTAAGCCCTATGGAAAAGGGATCCACCCGAGTGCGGAGGTGGAGTGGGAAAACCCAAAATCTCTGGTTTTTATCCTTAGAAGAACTTAGAACTTCCCTAAATTCAGTTCTGATGCCAGGCACGCTCTGCTGAGGTAACCCAGTTGGAATAAAAGGAAAGTAAGCGGTGCGATGTGCCAACCGCACTGTTGTGGTTTTGGGGTGGGTTTTTTTTTTTTGAGTTCAGACTTGCAAAGGTGATTAGGTTTGCAATGGTTATTTTTGTACTTGAGAATAAGCCTCGAGTATCGATATGTGGAATTACAGAGTTAGCGTTGTCGGCTGCAAAAACAGTGATGGCAAGTGGTCTGGGGAGAAGTGGAACTGCCTTCTCCACTGAGCTCTAGGTTTGTGGAGTTTCTTTTGTTGTTTTCTACGTTCACTTTATTAGTGCTGCGTGCATAGCTTCAAAAGCCACGTACTGCAAATTTATTTTATGTTTAGCAGTGGCTCTCCCTGGCCTTGAACTTTGTTTCTTTGGAGGTTAGAAGAGGAAAAAGTAGTTTTGAGCAATGGAAAGCAGTAAGTCAGGCCGCAAGTGTTCAATCTAAGGAAGGTCTCCTGTAGTATCAAAACCAATCAGGTTTTTGAGGTACTGTCATTTTTTAAAGGTGGCTGGAACCTAAAGCCGTCATTTCCAAGGTGGGGAATGCTAAGCAGAGCTTCATGCTGTACAAATCAGTTGGGGCAGTAGCCAGACAGTGAAAAATTGACAGAGCAATTAAAATTCCTAGATGGTCAAAATGTCTCGAAGTCATCAGCCACGTGATGTTGTACAGAAGGGGGATGTCTGTTTTCACTGAGAGTTTTGCGGCACGTTCACCCCTGTGACGGCGATCCTCGGGAGGCCGTGTCAACTGCACAAGAGCGAACCAGTAAACTTGATGCGTTTCCTTTCCAGCGGTGGATTTCTTCAACCAAATCAACATGCTGTACGGGACCATTACGGAGTTCTGCACAGAAGTGAGCTGTCCGGTCATGTCAGCAGGACCAAGGTAAGATGTTTACTGTGGTCTATGGCCACAATTTCTACGTGGGGAAGTAGGCGGGTGGCTGGAGCGTGCCTAGAAAGAAGCTAAAATGAGGATGGGACGTGTCCAGGCACAGCATCGCACTGCCCCAGTGGTGTTCAGCCGAGTGTCTTTTGGGTCCTGCTGCTCCCTACACCGTATCGAGGCTGGTGTCATCAGCCCTGCTGAATCAGCCTGTCCCGAAGCGTCCTTATCTCGGTTTTTGTCCCTCGATTCGCACTGGCAGTGGTTTTAAGGAGTCGAGCTACCAGGCATAACTGCTTTGTAGGAGAGGGTCGGAGAACGTGGAAAGGAAATAGTGAATGTGTATTCGGGGCGCCTCGTCGTTTTTGGGAGGTGTGAATACCCACGGGGAGACGACTATGACACGTTGGTGCTGAATTTGTGTTTTTCCGAGGTGAAGCTACAGCAGGGTATCTTGTTAGTAAGGTTACTCAAGGCTCTTTGTTTTTTTGGGTAGCAGCACAGTGTCTGGCTAGCGGGCAGTATTTGTGGGGTGCGGTGTAACATCCTGCCCTGGTTTTCTACCCAGAAGTATCTAGATTGCAAGTTCCTGTTTCTATATTTGGGGCCACTGCCTGTAACGACTTCCTGTTTAAGTGCCACTGTTAGTTTTTGCTTGTTGTCAAGCCAAGAGGCAACAGTCGAAACCTGGGGGTTTTTCCCCCTGCTTTTGAAGGATTTTGCAAAAGATGGCAGAGAAGGTTGCCATGTAGCGTTAGAGCTGACATCTTGCCCGCGTTGGGAGGAATCGTGGGATCGATAAGCACGTGTGTTGATTTGAGCTGGCAGCTTCCAAAAGCCTTTGGCTAATGTGTAGCCCTGGGGACTCGGAGAAGTCGGCTGCCTTGAGTGAGGGGAGAGGGAGTGCCAAATTCCTGGAGGGTGTCCGAAGGCTGTAGGTGACCTAATTCAGGTGGTGGGCAATGGTCCTGATGCCCCTTGGCCAGTTTTTGTCTTGTTCTAAAGAAATGTTGATGTTGGAGGATGCCACAAAGCTGAAGCTCGCTTTTGAGGGTCGAACCCCGAGGGCAATCGCAATGGAGCTGTTAGAACTCTGACTCTGTGTTGTGCTTGAGAAACTTGGGAAGGGAAAGCACCGCTCTGCTCGCTTCTGAGGAGTATGAGTGTTGTCACTCCTTACTGAAATAAGGAGGAAGCCAGGGGGCCTGAAAATTCATGGGTTTGTGTTTGGTTTTTTGGTTTGGTTTTTTTTTTTTTTTCCTTTTGGAGCAATGAATTTATTTGCCTTCCCTCTCCCCGCAGGTACGAGTACCACTGGGCGGATGGCACCAACATAAAGAAGCCGATCAAGTGCTCTGCTCCGAAGTACATCGACTACTTGATGACGTGGGTGCAGGACCAGCTGGACGACGAAAAAAAAAAGATTGGTAAGCCACGGGCTGCGCACAGGGGACCGAGACACCACCGGAACATCTTGCTTTGGTACTTCTGACCGAAGCGAAGGGCTCACCAACGCGTGTCGCTGCGTTTCAGGCGTCCCTTTTCCCAAGAACTTCATGTCGGTGGCCAAGACGATCCTGAAGCGGCTGTTCCGTGTGTACGCCCACATCTACCACCAGCACTTCGACTCTGTCATGCGGCTGCAGGAGGAGGCCCACCTCAACACCTCCTTCAAGCACTTTATCTTCTTCGTGCAGGTGAGTTGCAAAACTGGCAGCCGGTCGCTCGGGTTTCTCATTCCCCGTTTGCTTTTATGGGGAGTTGGATTTGAAGCGCCTCCTCATTCTTTGAAGATCCACAGCCGTGGTGTGGCGTTGGACGCTATGTTTGGTTCACGTGGTGTGATGCAGCTGTGGCATTGTGGGTTTGTGGTGGTGGGTTTGTTTTTTCTTTTTTGGTTTGGATGTTTTTGTAGGAAGCATGGCCGAGTTGGCTGTGAATGCTTGAATTTCATCCTTGGGTTTTAGGTATGAGCTTGCAGCAAAAGAAACCAGGCTCGGACAAGAAGTTGGGCGTTCTGTAGCTCAAGAATCGACTCAGAAGTAGCAGCAGTACTTTTTCTTTTTTTTTTTTTTTCCTTTCTTGCTGATGTATTAGCAGCCCATTGTGTGACCGCACATGTGACTCATGGTGCAGAGTGGCATGGTACTTCTTGGCAACGCAGCAGAGGTTTTGTTGCTCTGAAATGCTTTAATTTCTCCGCAGTAGAACCAGGAGAGGTGGCTGCTGCCTGTTTGGTTGTTCTCTTGGGCACACGTACAGTGGCCAGATGTGTTTTCCAGCAGCTTTGACAAGTGCCTTTAGTTTTTGTGTTGCTTTTTATCCCTGCCAGGAATTCAACTTGATCGACCGGCGGGAGTTGGCTCCTCTGCAGGAACTGATTGAGAAGCTGGGCTCCAAGGACAGATAAACTTTCCCCGGGAGGACCCTTTCGGCCGCTCCTTCTCGCTTTGTACGCCACCCAC